CACCTCATATTCTCTCCTCCACCTTAGTGTCTCCAACGCCCCCACTTCTTAGACTACTGTTCTTTCCTCGTTTTCTCTCCTACGTAGTCTACACCTAGAACTTCATCACTGTAATCACTGTTTTTCTAGTACATTTCATATCCCTCAGTACTTTAATTGCATGTTCCAGGACAACAAACAAAAGCCCAGTTTTAGATGGGCACAGACAACTCCTTTCTCCATTCCTATCCTAGGGTCTGTTGGGTATCAGAGGAAATCTCAAACTGCTTTAGGAGTCACTACAAGCACAAGCTCTTTAACTTCGACTGCATCTTCACTGTGTCCTGACAGTAGTATTTTGGATCCAGAGGAAGGTAACAGCTCTCAGTGTGAAAACAGATGCGCTAAAAGAAAAAGATGACCAAAGCTTCACCAAGGTCAGAGGGGAGGAGAGGAGGGGAGTTAATGTGTTACAAAGTGTCCCCCAACTTCTCCTCGATCAATATGTGTATCTTGGGCATACAGTCATAGTTGATGGGTCTCAATCAATTGATTATAGGTGGGGTTTTTATTATCCTTCTAAAAAGGTTCTTAGTGGAAGCCTCTGGGATCCATTGGGTATAATCACTTGGTTCCTACACACCTTTCACAAATGAGTATGGATCACTTACTTTCTATCTGCCTGGTGCTATACTGAGCCTCACAGGCAGTAAGAAATAGCAGAACTCATTGTCACGGTCTTCAAAAGTTTATATTCAAGCTAGGGATAAAATTAATGTGCTTAAACCAGTTGCAATCAGGTTTGGGCAAGCTCTGTCATAATGACAGTTACTGGAGTGGAAAGTTTAAAATGAGAGAGACTGGTTTTGTTGCAAAATCTTTAGACAGATTTGAACATGAGCAGGCCTTGCAGGAAGAACGCGAGGTAGAAAGCAGAGATGGGAAGATTTTCACCACATTTATTCTGTCCTCTCAACATTCATCTTGCTCCCACGTTGCAATTGTAAGGTGAAAGGCAGCAGATGCACTGGGCAAGAGGAGAATCTGGACTGACAGCAGACTCGCCAATCCTACTCCATCCCCTGCAAAATGTCAGCAGGATCCCTAGCACGTCTTGCATGAGACTCTTACCCTAAATTGTCTGAGAGCCCTCGAGGGGTCAGGCATTCTCAGCAAGGGGAAAAAAGTTAGATTTTCCTGTGACGGTTCCCAAAGCCACCCAGCTGTGTGCCCGGTCGAAGGCCCTACCAATCACACCCCACAGCATTTGCTTGGGCCGCTGGAGTTTCCCGCGGGTCTCCTGTGTGCGCACAGTGCAGGAGCACAGTCAGAGTGCGGGAGATGGGAAGCGCCTGGTGAGCCCTGGACCCCTCACATCCTCGCCGCATCCTGGAGATGGGCGAGGACCCAGGTGGTCTCCAAGGTCAACAGCCGAGGAGAACGAAATGGTCTCTGCCTGTTTGGGGGTTTTCTACCTGCTGTGTTAGAGAGGTGGCATTGAGTTCCATAGACACCGCACTAGTTTTAAATCAATCTCTCACCCCAAAACTCACCCATGCTCCAAACAGAATATCTTTGCTTTGTCTGCGTGTGACATTCTGTTAAAGGGCAGAAAAGTACATGTTGTGATTTATTTCCAATTCTTTAATTTTAGAACAGTGTCCCCTCAGTGAGTAGATAGAACTTTATAACCTTAAGTAAGTTAGTTAAATACAACCATATTGATCACTTTGGCAGTTTTAGTTTATGTATACAATCAACTCTTCTTTTAAAGATTTTACTTATTTATTTATTTGAAAGGTGGAGTTACAGAGAGAGGAGCAGGGACAGAGAGAAAGAAAACCTTCCATCCACTTGAGGTTCACTCCTCAAATGATCACAACAGCCAGGGCTGGGCCAGGCCAAAGACGGGAGCCTGGAGCTTCTTCTGGGTCTCCTACATGGGTGCCAGAGCCAAGCACTTGAGCCATCTTCTCTGCTTTCCCGGGCACATGAGCAGGGAGCTGGATGGGAAGTGGAGCAGCACTCGAATGGGTGTCTATATGGGATGCCGGCATCACAGGTGGAGGCCTACCCTGCTACGCCACAAACCCTCCCCTACAATATACTTGTAAGGTAAAGCATACAAAATGTCTCAAAAGACACCATCATGCCGATAGTTAAACAAGAGAGTACTTGTGCATGATGGCTTGTCACGACACAGTCATATCCTGTTTTTGTTGCTGTTTTGTTTGACCTGTTTGCCTAACATCTTTATTTATCTTGTATTAGTAAGGATTTTAAAGAAATTCAGAAATAGGTGAGCGTGCAGTTGTCTGTTCTTAGGTCTACCTAAGAGTAACTGGAAACACAGTCAGCCTGAGGTCAGGGGCAGCGGTTACAGGACGTTACACAAAACAAAATCCTTGCATGCTCAAGCTTTTCATACTAATATTCGCATATAACCCGTGCAATCCTCCTGCACACGGTGAAGTGTGTCTGCTTTACTCCTGGTAAGGAAGACAACGTAAAAGCTACGTAAATCACTGCTGTGCTGCATTGTTCAGGCGTCAATGACAGGAAAACACAACCTGTGCTGTTCAGTGCCGACGTGATCACGGCTGAGTGTCTCTGATCTGTGCTGACTCCACTGATCCGACACCCAGGGACAGAGAGGGACAGCTGGCTTATGTTCACAAAAGGGTTGCAGGACCGTTTTCTGAAGGATGTCCTTAGTTCTCCAGCGCAACCTGGAGGGATCTCAGAAGACTGTGGAGAATGAAAGCAGACATTCTACATGGAGTTATACTGTGTAGGCGCTCAGACGTCATCAAATCCAGAAACTTGAAATATTAGGTTATTAAAATAGGTTGCAACATTTAAGGAATTAAACCAGCATAGTAGTGACTTAGGAAAACTCTTTCTTTTTAAAAAACATAAATATGTTGTGCAACCCAATTGTGCAACTGACAAAGAAACCTAACGCCGTGTCCATGTGCTCGTCAAGTGCAACGCAACACACGGAAGTGTGTGTGTGTGTGTGTGTGTGTTGGTGATGTGGGTGTGTACATACACGTGTATGAGTGTGTGTGTGTTTGGATACAGGGCTGGATGGATGTCCCTCTGTGCCACCTTAAGAGAGCAGAGTCTCACATGTGATAATTCCATTTTGCTTTTGCTTTTTTTGTGCTGTTTGAATTTTTTAAGAATTATAAGTACATATTTTAGCAAACATACTAAAGCTATTTTCAATGGAATCCAAAAGAAAGCATTAAAACAAAACAGTTCTTGGTAATGTCTCATCCTCTCCTAACAGAGATTTTTTTTTAAAGATTTATTCATTTGTTTGAAAATCAGAGTTACACAGAGAGAGGAAAGGCAGAGAAAGAGAGAGAGGTCTTCCATCTGATGGTTCACTCCCCAGTTGGCCGCAATGCTGGAGCTATGCTGATCCAAAGCCAGGAGCCAGGAGCTTCTTCCGGGTCTTTCACGTGGGTGCAGGGGCCCAAGGACTTGGGACATCCTCTACTGCTTTCCCAGGCCACAGCAGAGAGCTGGATTGGAAGTGGAACAGCTGGTTCTCGAACTGGCACCCATATGGGATGCCGGTGCTTCAGGCCAGGGCGTTAACCTGCTGCGCCACAGCGCCGGCCCCATAACATAGATTTTTGACTTAGCTGTTGACCTTCTCTGGGTATTACTTTTCCCACCTCCTCTTCCTGAGTCTTGGGGACCCACGATGGAGGGGGGAGGGCCCAGGACACTTCTCTTCTCACTCAGACTACTTTGGTTTCAACAGCAACAGACCAGAGATTTAATGGTGTAGCCTGCAGGCACATTTCTCAAGATTGGCCTAGGATAAATTAATAACAATGTCTGAGTGTGTGCTGTGTCACTCTCGGCCCATGCAGTGAACAAGAGCGGAAGTCAAGGGGCGTGACTCCCCTTTAGATGCACGGTTGTGGTGTGAGCACCGCTTAGCCCTTCCCGCGGGACCCTGCACAGACCTCAGGGTGGGTGCTGCTCATGCTGCACACAGTGGGGCCGCGGTGCACGCAGGAGAGAATAAAGAAAAGTACGGCTGAAACGGGCCCACCCTAAGAGCACGGAGATTGAGCCATCCAGATAGAAAGTGGGAAGCACCCGCGGAAGGGAACCTGCTCTCCCAGAGACTTCCGGGGTCTTGCAGCGGGTACTGTGCAGATGGGCGCTCCCTGGCCTGGCAACGGCCCCATTGAGTAAAGGCTGTCTGCATTTTTTAATGTTTAAATTTTATTTATTTATTTATTTTTGACAGGCAGAGTGGACAGTGAGAGAGAGACAGAGAGAAAAGTCTTCCTTTTGCTGTTGGTTCACCCCCTAAATGGCCGCTGCAGCCGGCGCACCACACTGATCCAAAGCCAGGAGCCAGGTACTTCTCCTGGTCTCCCATGGGGTGCAGGGCCCAAGCACTTGGGCCATCCTCCACTGCACTCCCGGGCCACAGCAGAGAGCTGGACTGGAAGAGGAGCAACCGGGACAGAACCCAGTGCCCCAACCGGGGTGCTGGCACCGCAAGTGGAGGATTAGCCTAGTGAGCCGCAATGCCGGCCTAAATTTTATTTATTACATTTTATTTATCTTCTATCGTTAAGGTAGAGATACAGAGAGATGTTCCATTCACTGATTCACTCCCCTAATGCCTGCAATAGCCAGAGTTGTGCCAGGCTGAGGTCCAGAGCCCTGGAACTCAAACTGGTCTCCCCTGTGGGTGGCAGGGACTCTATCACTTAAGCCATCATCTGCTGCCTCGGCGGGGGGGGGGGGGGGCTGGAATCAGAAGCAGAGCCAGACTTGGACGCGGCCCTCTGACATGGGGGTGGGGGGTGGGGGGGGCTGGAATCAGAAGCAGAGCCAGACTTGGACGTGGCCCTCTGACACGGGGTGGGGGTGACCTGAGGGACGTCCTAACTGCAGGTCACTGCCCACGCCAGCCGCTGTCATGTTCTAATTTTGCCACCACCACTGTATGATTGCACAACCCTGATTCTCCCATTCCCAGAACAGTGCCAGAGCAAACTCTGTGGTTTAATCAGTAAATGACCTGAAACTGAGGGCAGCTTTCCTTCCACAGTGAGGTGGAGGTGGAAGGCTTATTCTCATCTTCACTGGTGATGATGTGCTGTCGAGACCCAAGAGATGACAACAAAACCCCAACTTGACCAGAAGGAAAACACTCCCTGGGTGCAGTGCTGTCGCGGCCGCTGGCTAAAATGCACGTGCAGCTTGTAGAAACCGCCCCCTTCCTACCCAGGAGCTGGTGAGTATCTTTTTTTTAATTATGATTAATTACGATAAAATATGATAAATATGATAAAATAAATTATGATAAAATAAGTCAAAATGTGGTTAAAATAATTCCCCCAAAAGGCATGAGGAGGGGATCACGGAAGGAAAGCAATCGGCAGAAAGGAACTCCGGGGATAACAGAGTGCCTGTCACTCACTCCGTGTTCTCAAAGTAGGCTCGGCTACACGCAGCACAAGGCATGACGTCACGTGTGCGTGCCGTGACGCTGGACAGCACGCTATGTTCCAACAGAAACTGCTTTGCCGTCCAATGCCCCTTTGAAATGTGCTCAGTAACATCTTCTTCTTTAACTCTCTATAGATGTCCTCCTAGTCAGGTAATATTCATTTCTCCCCTGAAATTTCCAGTTACTCATTTTTTGTACAAACTCTAACCTCAGCATTTTAATTTGAAAGAGAAAATCCAGGAACTCCAAGAAAACAATTTTTAAAATAACGTTTTTGAATTTTTAACTGACACATAAAAATTACATATTTATAGGGTGCTGAGTATAGAGTTTTAAGTATTAATAAATGAGTTGATTAATACTAAAAGATGTGTAGTGCAATTTACATAATTCTGTTTTGATAACAAAAGTAATGTGAATAAAATATTATATAAGCAACTTGCAGAAATTATCAGTGAAGAAAAAATTAGTGTTTTTTTTAATTTGTGGAGAGGCATAGGAAGTTATCATACACAACAATGGAAATCATTTTTAAAGCAATACAGTCAATGCATCATGGAGAGAAAAACATAAAGGGGTAATGAATAATTTAAAACCTCTGCTTAAGGAAAAGAAGAATACTCACTTTGGATTCTTTCCCAAATAAGCACACAAAAGGTTAAATGCATATTTTCAAAAATTTTTGAAGATATGCATTTATCAATATTTTAGTATGTTTGTGCAGATAAAAAAAGTACGTAGACTGATCCAATAGCTTACATAAGACTTTAGCTTACTAGCTGAAAATTACACTTAGAAGAATTTGTCAGACAAATTTCCAAGAACATTGAAACACATGCAAAGAAGAAATTAATATCATGCGTCTCAGCATCAGTTAGGCGCTGCATAGATCAAAGATTCGCTTTGGTGCCATGAAGGTCTGACTTTGAGTTTCCAACAAGATGAGAGTACGAGCCAAATGATAAGACAGAAGCATGAAGAGCTAATTTCCAAGAATTCCAGCAGATTATAAATGCAACCGACTGCAAGGCACGGCTTCCCTGAACACAGGGGTTTGCAGACACATCTGGCAGAGAGGCTGTGAGTCCCTCTTCTGCTCTTTTCCAAAGACGTTATTTTCCTTTGTTAATTCTTCCTGACCTCATATTTTTAAATGGGTGGCAACAAATCCTCAGTTCTACCAACTGCAATAATTAATGCATTTTGCTGCTTTCTGTCATTTAATTATAGCATTAAAGACAGCCTATGTAATTGGGTACTGTTTGGGGGCATTTGCACCTCCTAGTGTGCTAGGAGGACATGGCTCTATATCCCCATATCCACAATTCCAAGGATGGTACCTGGAGGAGAGTTCCCTACCTTTTCAGAAACAAGCAAGACAGAGCATAAACAGACAGACAGGAACAAATGTATCAGACAACGTTCCAGGGGCTGGGGCTGTGGATCAGCAGGTTAAAGCCCCAGCCTGCAGTGCCGGCATCCCATATGGGTGCTGGTTCGAGTCCTGGCTGCTCCTCTTCTGATACAGCTCTCTGTATGGCCTGGGAAAGCAGTAGAAGAGAGTCCAAGTCCTTGGGCCCCTGCACCTGCATGGGAGACCCGGAAGAAGCTCCTGGCTTCTGGCTTTGGATTAGTGCAGCTCTGGCCATTGCAGTCATTTGGGGAGTGAACCAGCGGAATGGAAGACCTCTCTCTCTCTCGCTCTCGCTCTCGCTCTCGTTCTACATCTTTCTGTAACTCTTTCAAATAAATAAAATAATTCTTAAAAAAAAGAAAAGCAAGCATTCCAAGCGTTAGAAGAAAAGGAACTACCTGGGGAGTAAGACTATCAGTGAGGAGTTCTGAGTAAAGCAACCAGCTCACATCACATAGGGGTGAAGGCTGTGTTTGCTGCTAAGTCAGCCTTGGTCCCTTCACCAAGCATGCAGGTCTGCATCATCCTTGAGAATGCCATCCCAGCTGGAACGCCTGGGACTGGGATGTCAAAACGACCCAGGTGCTCACTTGCCTTGCTATCGCCGTCTCAGATCTTCCATGCCTGCGCCAAGGGGCCGTGGCGACCTTCACAAGGAGGTAAAGTGCCTTAACTGACAAGAGCGTGTTGCCTCATTCAGGGACACATTCCAGGACATGATCCGGTGAGGGAAGTCACTGGAGAATTCCACCAGCGTGGCTGGGGCACGCTCAGGCACGAGCAATGCGCTGTGCAGGGCAGGGACGAGCACACGCAGCCAGCGGGCCAGGCTGGCCCAGAACGCAGGACGGGCTTGCGAGATGGGCATCTGGGCTGGAAAGTGGAACCTGTGATGATTTACGTACAAACACCTTGTCCCAGGACAAAGTTTATAGAGAGGTCTGTTTCTCAGTAGCTGTTAGGAGGTCAAACCTCTTAGAAAGAGTTAGTCCTAGTTCCTAAGCCCAGATGTCAGTATAACATGGGACTTCTGTTTTTCAGCCATGGAAAACTGCTCTTCTTGGATGTAGGTATTTAGGCACATGGTAAAGAATAAATATTTTATTGAGCTTATCTTGTACAAGGAAAACTAAGCTAGAAAGCAACTTTCTAAATAGTTCATAAGATTATGAAGTCAAATTCAATTTTTAGCACCACAAACACTGACACAACTGGACCTCATTTGTATCAAATTGTTGGCACAGCCACACAGAAAGGAGCTGTTCAAGCTGCCTTCCCGTCTTTCTGAAAGAATGGAAGAGAAGTGCTCAAACTGAGAAAATGCAGGTATCCCAGCAGCACTAATCGCAAAAGCCAAGAAAACAAACAAACAAGCAAACAAATGAAGAAATAACTCAATGTCTGTTGATTAACGAATAAACAAAACATGGTACGTACACAATGGCATATCTTGAGCCATCAAAGGCATCAAGTCCTGGTACACCAGCTTCCTGTTCTATGGCACATCGAGAACCAGGAAATTCATGGAGACAAACCACATCTGTGACTTTGCGGAGCCCAGGGGAGGCAGGAATGGTGAATGACTACTGTATGCGCACGGGGCTTCCTTTTGGGGAACTAGATAGCAGTACGTGTCGCAGAAAACTGTGAATGTGGCAAATGTCACTGGTAATAAATTTTGTTGTGTGTGGCTTATCAAGGAAAAGTTGTAGAGACTAATGAACAGTAAGTGGTACCATTTCTCTCCAAGTTTACAGAAATATGGTAAAGGGAACTAGGCGAAAGACCCAGATAAAATGAGAGAGGTCGTGAGTTGATGATGGTTGAAGATGAGTGACAGGTATATATGGAGCTTCTGTGTGCTCTTTTCCTACTTTAAATAAGTTTGCATGTGCCATCTACCTATCTCTGTGTGTCATCACCTATCTATCTATCTGCCTATCGTCTATGCATCCTTAACTCACAGGCTTGTCAGGCACCATTGAGTGCCATTAATTTGGGGGAATGTACAACACCTTTCAAGAAAGGAGATAGCAACTACTTTAAGTGTTTTGAGCCAATTAATTTATTTTTTAAATATATACATACAAACACAAACACAAATATGCAAAAACTTTAGCATCTGCATCAAGGATTTAGTAAATTTTTTTTTTCTGACAGGCAGAGTGGACAGTGAGAGAGAGAGACAGAGAGAAAGGTCTTCCTTTTGCCGTTGGTTCACCCTCCAATGGCCGCCGCGGCCAGCGCACCGCGCTGATCCAATGGCAGGAGCCAGGAGCCAGGTGCTTCTCCTGGTCTCCCATGGGGTGCAGGGCCCAAGCACCTGGGCCATCCTCCACTGCACTCCCTGGCCACAGCAGAGAGCTGGCCTGGAAGAGGGACAACCGGGACAGAATCCGGTGCCCCGACCGGGACTAGAACCCGGTGTGCCGGCGCCGCTAGGCGGAGGATTAGCCTAGTGAGCCGCGGCGCCGGCTTGGATTTAGTAAATTTTGTTGATTCTGATTGATGGGATAGTTCATTAAGGGCAAGTTTTTGGGAACTTGAGTTCCTTATTTATGAGTTCCATAGTTTATGATTTTAATATAATTCTCCGTGTGGTTTGATAAGCCATCTTTTCCAATTGCATTCCACTATTTGACAATGCCTTAGGACTCAGTTTAGAAGTACAAGTTGATTGGTGTAGTACTAAGTGAATATTCGTTTTTGAAATGAATGTATAAGAACAGATGCTTTAACGTGATCCAGGGCTTATGTCAGTGCCACAAGTACAAACTCTGAGCCAACAATTCCGGTGAATTAATGTGTGCTCTGCTGCGTGTGCTTAGTCCTGAAGCACACAAGGGTGTTGTGAACCACTGAGTGCCGTTCATTTGGGGGAACGCACAGTCCCCCATGAGGGAGAAGATAATAACTGCCTGAATTGTTCTGAGCTAATTCATTCACTTTTAAAAGCAAAAATGTACCTTTAGAAACAACAGGCAAGGGGCCAGCACTGTGCTCGGCAGGTTCAGCTGCAGCCTGCAACACTGGCATCTCATGTAGGCACCAGACCTTGTCTATGCCCTGGTTGCTCCACTTCCAATCCACTTCCCTGCTAATGACCTGAGGTAGCAGTGGAAGATGGCCTGAGTGCTTAGGCCCCTGCACCCATGATGAAGACCCAGATGAAGTTCCTGCCTCCTGGCTTTGGGCTGGCTACCCCTGCCCTTGCAGCCGTCTGGAGAGTGAACCAGTGGATGGAAGATCTCTCTCTCTCTCTCTCTCTCTCCCCCCCCCTCTTTAACTCTGCTTTTCAAATAAATAAGTAAATAAATCTTTAAAGGATAAGTAAATATATCTCTATATTGAATGCAATGCAGCATTCAAAGATAGCAGCTCTTTACTGTGGCTACGATTCCTTTCTTTTCCCCCTCTCCAGCCAACTGTCTTTACAGAATGATGAGTCTTTGTTCCAGAAGATACATTTGAGACGTTAAACTGCGCCAGGTAGGGGACAAAGAGCTGGCGTGGCTCACAGGTCTCGCTCTGTGCCCTCTGCCCACCCTACTTCCCGCAGCTTGCTTGCTCCTCAGCACACCTCCCGCAAAGTCCCTGCCTGCCTTCTTCGAGTCACTCTCTGTTTCGTATCCTATTAGTTTCTGCAGCCACTTGTCTAAGGTCTCATTTGCTTTTGTGGCCTCAGAAGCATGCTCTCTCTCCCCTTTCTTTCACTGTCCACAGAGAATTATTTGGGGTTCCTTGTAGACAATCAGTATCCCACTCATTTATTAATCTTAAGAAAACAGAAAATGCATTCTTAAAAATCGTGGGTGACTAACACACTTCAGATGCCTAATGATACACAGCATTTAGAGATTATAAAGGAGGGACCACAGTTCTACCTCCCTAGTTTTGTCTGAGATAAGAGTTGGAGGAAACGTCCACAGCTGGGTGCACTTGAGGCTTGCACCCAGGACGCACCCCTTGAGTGCCCCCAGGCTTGTCTGTGAGCCAAGGCAGGGCCTACACAGGTGGAGGCAGCTCCAGCCACTTACCCACTGCCTTCCTGCCACGTCCCAAGCTGTTCAGCAAATACAACTGTCAGTTCTTTATCCACACTCCAAAGACTTCACAAGGGGTTTTTCCCTCTTTGCACCCAAGAAAATGTGGTTAACCTCTTCCAGATCAGGAAAAAGAAAATGGAACTAAAATAAGAAGATTCAGTTGGTTGTAATCACATTCATATTAGGTGAAGAAATAGAGAATATGTTTGCATTCACCTGCTACTCAGTAGTTATTTTCATACACACATACACACACACATGCACACACACATACAAAAACATTCCTGAATATTATCAGTAAGGTGCTTTAACAAAATTTGGTTAACGCTAAAAATAAAATTTCCCCCCATATTTCATTGTGGTACAATTTCCTGTCTTGAAGAAAGATGGAAACTTTTACTTGGAAGATGTATAGTTAGAATTTCCTGTAATACTGAATTAACTCCAGTCAAAATGAACTATTTTACACTGCCATTATTACTCATTTACCAAAAATAATTTGTGCTGGGTTTAATATTTTCTTAATACTTTTAACTTTTCAAAGCACTTTCTCATCAAATATCTCTTTAGCTTCACAATGAACTTCAGACTTAGGCTAATGAAATATCTTACCAGAGATTTTATTTTTTTTAACTGCCAAAGACAAAGGCTATTTGTTTATGATGACCAAGTCTACTATGACATCCTTAAAATATATTTCAATTAAAAAGTGCAAAAAAGACTCCTCCTCAACCACAGACAGGCCCGTTACCATTTTATCATTTCTGAAAAGCTGCATCCAACGGTAATTTTGAGACAGCTTTATTGCATTAAGAAACACAACAGTCAACATAACATTGTATTAATTTGGGGGTTTTGACAGGAAGCCATAAAACAAAGCAATGTGCCAAATCAAGTCAACCTCAAATCTGGCTTCCCTTAGAGTGGAGAGTAGCGGTGAAGTTCATGATTCCAAATATAGAGACCAGTGGGCGCTGCCAGGAGAGCTGGAGTCCTTGGGCACAAATGGCTCGAATTAATTACCAAGCCATCCTGGACCCCACGCGCTGGCGCCCTGCGTTAGCAGATGTGGTCCTCGCAGGGACACGCAGCCCGGTTCTGCTACCCTGCTATTGGAGCGAGGGGAGTGGCGCTGGCAGGCGCTTCACTCTCTACTTTGGTACTTTTTCTCAACCCTGTATATTTATGGGGATTTTAAATACTATCTTTTCCCGTTTACCATATGTCAAATTCTACATGAACTGATAAAAACATGCAAAGGCCTGATCACTCTCCTCTCCCAAAATAGACTTTCCTCCCTCCTCCCTCCTACACTTCAGCCAGCCCCTAACTACTCATGACTAAAATCTGAAATGCCCATCTGACCGAATTGCATGATGTGTCCGTTTTTAAAGACCTGTATTCAATTATCCACACTGATGCGGGCACCCAGAAAAAGAATTGCCTGTTGGTGCTTTTCTGTTCGGCTGCTCCTCAGCTGTGGGACAGTTTGGCATGCAGCGTGCCCCCACCCCCCCACAGCAAGCCGGCACCCTCCTTGCTGGGAGCGCTGCCGGCACTGACACCGAGGAGGCCGCCTTCATCAGAGCCTGCTGGGATGCGCCCAACTCCTCACTCCAGGGAGTGCTTCCCTGCTTGACGCTGGTAGCAGATTAAAGCTGTTCTAATTTTCCATCCCAGCCAAATAGATGCATAAGCAAGCTGTTAGGCTGTCTGGAGATCAGCACGGATCACGCTTTTTCAGGGCACCACTGCAGTTAGCGGATCGGGAACATTTGCAAGTGAAATCACGGGGGGGGGGGGGGGGGGGGGGAAGACTGGGGTGGGCACAAGCAGGTCCCTGCTCAAGTAGCACACACACGCTACGCAGCGAGAGAGCAGTGAGGACCATGGAGGGTCATCTTCCAGTGACACAGGATGGCAATCGGTCATGCCGTGCTCTGCACAAGCCACTGCCCAAGGGACAAAGGAGAAAATTCGACTTGCAAGGCAGCTTGGCATCACCAGCTGGAAGCCCCAGGAGCCTGCGTTTTGTGGACAGGCCACAGGTCACTGTGGAGGCCGGCCTGGGATTCAGAGCTGGCGTCCAGTTCCAGCCTCTCTCCCAACCTCCAGCCCCAGAGTGCATGTGGAATAGCCAGTGAGACCTGGCCACCTCGGATGACATACAGTGTCCACTGCACTAGAAAATTCCAGCTGTGACACATCAACATACTTGAAGAAAAAGGAAAGAACCAACATAGAAAAGTGAAGAATGGCAAAGGAAACTGAAATCAACAGAAACATACAGACCACGTCAGCATCTCATGGTGCTGAGTCCATGGGGTGAGGATGAGGGAGAAATAATGACATACCTTGTTGGAGCCAGTGTTTTAAAAAAAATTATTTATTTATTCATTTGACAGATAGACAGTGAGAGAGAGAGACAGAGAGAAAGGTCTTCCTTTTTCCATTGGTTCACCCCCCAAATGGCTGCCACGGCAGGCACTGCACCGATCCGAAGCCAGGAGCCAGGTGCTTCCTCCTGGTCTCCCATGCGGGTGCAGGGCTCAAGCACCTGGGCCATCCTCCACTGCCTTCCTGGGCCACATCAGAGAGCTGGACAGGAAGAGGAGCAACCGGGACCAGAACCCGGTGCCCATATGGGCTGCCAGCACTGCAGGTGGAGGATTAACCAAGTAAGCCACAGCGCTGGCCCCAGAGCCAGTTTTCATCATCATTGTGTTAACAATTTATAATGAAAGCCCAAACGCACGAAGCATTCTGCTGAGAGTGGCTTAGAGCAGGCGATACAGACCCCTTTTGGTCCTTAGAAGAGTCTGGAAAAAGAGAGATGGAAATAGAAGGCAGAAAATGATTCATGACAAAAAGCCCCGCAGCCCACGGGCCATGGGGCCTCTTACAATAAGACTTCCTTATGTACAAGCCTTAGAAGCTCCTAAGCCCGATGTAAGGACAACTGTTGGAAAGGAAAGCCTCAACAACAACAAAACAAACAACCCAGTTAAGAAATGGGCAAAAGGCTTGAATAGGAATTTTTCAAAAGATGAAATTCAGACGGCCAACAGACACACGGAAAATGCTCAGGATCTCTAGCCATTAGGGAAATACAAATCCAAACCACAGTGAGGTTTCACCTCACCCCAGTCAGAACGGCTCTCACACAGAAATCTACCAATGACAAAGCTGGTGAGGACATGGGGAAAATGGTACCCTAATCCACTGTTGGTGGGAGCATAAGCTGGTACAGCCATTGTGGAAGACAGTACGGAGGTTCCTCAGAAACCTGAAAACTGATCTACCGTATGATCCCACCCCTGAGAATTTACCCAAACAAACTGAAATCAGCATATGAAAGAGTTACCTGTACCCTCCTGTTTACTGCAGTTCAATTCACAATAGCTAAGATATGGAATCAACTCAGAGGCACACAGACTGGTGACTGGATAAAGAAAATGCGGTATATATACACTATGGGATACTACTCAGCCATAAAAAAGAAGGAAATCCTGTCTTTTGCAACAAAATGGATGTGACTGTAAACCATTATACTTAGTGAAATAAGTATATTTGTCTTTTGTCCCCAAAAGACAAATACCAAATATTTTCCCTGATCTGTGGTAACTAATAGAGTACCAAAAAATGTAATGTATAGGAATGAAACTGACATTTTTGACTGGATGATTGCTTACAGCCCGTCTCTCCTGCTGAGGAAGAGTGTTTTTTCTTCTTACTATTTGTTGAATTCTTTACCCACTGGAGGCTTAAGCTTACGATTATAATATAAACTGAAAGTATGACATAGTAAAAATTGAAGAAGGAATAGGAAAAGAAGGTGGAGGGAGAGTGAGAGATGGGTGAGAGGGAGGGTGGGGTGTGAAGTATCACTAAGTTCCTCAATCTCTATATATGAAATGCATTAAACGTGCTCCCCTTATATAAATATAAATGGATGTTATTAGGACAATTGGTGAAATAGGTATTAAGACTCTAGACTATGGCCGGCGCCGCGGCTCACTAGGCTAATCCTCCACCTAGCGGCGCCGGCACACCGGGTTCTAGTCCCGGTCGGGGCGCCGGATTCTGTCCCGGTTGCCCCTCTTCCAGGCCAGCTCTCTGCTGTGGCCAGGGAGTGCAGTGGAGGATGGCCCAAGTGCTTGGGCCCTGCACCCCATGGGAGACCAGGAGAAGCACCTGGCTCCTGCCATCGGATCAGCGCAGTGTGACGGCCGCAGAGCACCAGCCGTGGCGGCCATTGGAGGGTGAACCAACAGCAAAAAGAAAGACCTTTCTCTCTGTCTCTCTCTCTCACTGTCCACTCTGCCAGTCAAGAAAAAAAAAAAAAAAAAGACTGTAGACTATAAATATTATGTCAATTTTTTTTAAAAGAAGAAACGAAAGCCTACCTACAAAGACTTCACAGCAAACTGAACAGATGTGCCA